GGTTCACTAAGTATGGACGTTTCATAGCATTGGCACACATATTCTTAGCTTCCATTGTAGCCAAAACATTCCTGGATAATATTTACAAACTACATGGGATGCCTAATAGTGTAGTATCAAATAGAGATAAGATTTTCACTGGTGGATTTTGGCTAGGTCTGTTCAAATTAATGGGCTCTAAACTGCACTTAAGCTATGCATATCACCCACAAACTGATGGGCAAGCTTAAAGACTTAATCAATGCTTGGAAATATACCTGAGATGTATGACATTTCATCAACCTAAGCAGTGGTTGGCTGAATGGTGGTATAACACCACCTACCATATTTCCATCAAGATGAGTCACTTTGAAGCCTTATATGGCATTAAGCCACAACAATTAGCATTAGGGCTGTATTAACACACTAACGTAACAGTAGTGGAAGAGTTAGTACAAAAGAGGCATCAGATGGATCTACTATTAAAAGAACATTGACTCGAGCTAGAGTAAGAATGAAGTTTTATGCTGATCAATATAGGGTAGAGAGGGAATTTCAGGTAGGATTTATTTGAAACTTCAGTCTTTCAAATAGCAATCTGGGTTGACCAGGATCAATTCTAAATTAATTGCTAGGTACTATTGGCATTATCAGATCATTAGAAGAATTGGGCAAGTGGCTTATGAATTAAGGTTATCCCATTATTCTAAAATCCATCATGTTTTCCATGTCTCGCTACATAAGAAGAAACTATTGACCTATGATTGATTTCATCATCATCATCAATGTTTTGATCATAACAAATNTTTCTAACAATTGATTTTGAGTTATGATAGTTCAATGTTAAAATCAATTAAGCATTATAAATCGGACTCGAAATGAAGATCAAAGTAAAAGTTAAGCATTCAAGTCAAATCATTCGATACGACAACTTAAAATATAAACGTCAAGAAAGATCAAGAGCATGAACATGAGAGACGACATCAAAGAAATATCAAGAAGAGAAGTATGAGGGGCAAACTTCGAAGCAAGATAAAAAAAACTAATTTTTTTAATTCAAATATAAAGGCACTAATACTTTGATAATAAAAGCTCAAAAATAGTTTTATGCACGAAAAGATTATTTCATAAAAACACTTGCATACAATTTTATTCTTCAAAAAATGTAAGTATTTCAACTTGATATTTAAACTTTTTACTATATTTATTTACCTTGAAAATAAAGTGAAAACATCATTCAAAAGTCTATATTTTTCAACCCAATCAAAAAGGGGAAAAAAAAGTCAAAGCGGATGTTCGATTGACCACGTGGACATCCAGTTTTACGGTAAATTTTTTAACCATTTTGATTTTTTATGCACAACGACTAGTTTGATTGCCCGTTCAGGATACAGATGTCCGAATAGATTGTCCGATGGATCAAAAAATTTAGCGTTTTGACTCCTATACATACCACTTCATTTTGCATTCATTACAACAATTAGAAGAGAGCTTTATTGTGAAATATGTTTGTGAAAAAAAATTCTTTGAATTTATATTTTTACATTCATTTCATTTATTTTTTTCATAGCAAAAATTTTGATTATTGAATCAAACTTTTTGAATCATTTCCTTCGTCGAAGTTTTTCATATCTCTTTATGCTTAACTTATTTATATCAATATTAAAAAAGAAATATATTTTTGAAGAAGATCTTTGCATTTACACTGCATAGACCTTTCTATTTCTTTATATTGAAAATTTTAAATGATTGAATGAAACTTGTAAAGGCATCATATTTATCGAAATTTCTCATTTATCTTTTAGTACTTAATTTATTACAATTATTCATTAAAAGAGATAAATATTTTGAAGAGATTTTTGAAATAAAATTGCATTTGGCTCTTCTTCATCTTTTCATTGAGAAATTTTGATTGGTTGAATCTATTTTGTAATTACATATTTATCAAATTTTTAATTTAACACTTGAGCTATCATTTGTCATTATTCATTGAAGTGATTTTACAACAGAATTCTTTGAACTAAAATTGCACTTGCTCCTTGCTTGTAAGTAACGGATTTTCAAATTCAAATTCACATACGACGCCGTTTTACTTAGTTTTAATTGTAGAAGTGTACCAGTTTTCTTTTAGCAAAACATGTTTCCTTCTACTTAAACAAACGGAGTGAATGGGGGAAGTGGAAATTTGTTAAAATTTTGCACATCTTTCTTCTTCCCCAATTCTCAGTAATCTCCCTACTTCTTTCTTCTTTATTGTAATCACGTTTGGTTCAATCAATATAGTCACAACTTGGCTTGTTAAATTCCAACTGATTATCTGCATTTTGTGAGTAAATTGTGGTGGTTTTGGTTGAAGTTTTGCTCAACCATTAAACATTGATTTTTTTAATTTTTTTTACACGATTGATTTTTACCAATCTATAAACCATGAAGAATCCCTACGTTATTGCTTCAATTATGTTTATTTCTTCACATTCTCCATTTCTTTAACCTTCTCGTTGAATTCAATCTCTCTCACTCCGGCCCTCAAAGAAGACATTACAGAAGACCATTAAAAAGCTCTCTATTTTCGATTAGCCTAAATGTACACAATTCATTACCTGATGGATTACACCCCCTCAAATAGAGGGGGCCCACAAACAATAAAATATTCGCGAGCCTCCCTCCATGTGAGGGGGTGTAATTCATTAGGTAATAGATTGGTTGTACATCTAGCACAATCCCTTTATTTTTGGTCTGATTCAGATTCGACTCCAAGCAAGTAGGACGGGATCACCTGTGATCACACCCACCAAAAGGTAACTTCCATTTCTCTTTCCAACAAGAATCTCGTAGGATACATCATACATTCCCTCGGAGATTAGTGCACTCTCTTTTCTTACTTCTCTTGACCTCTCATACAATTATCTCAGTAGGCCCCACCACACCATATTGCTGTTATGTTATGCTTTAGATCCAATCAACTTTGGACATAACACTTTTAATATATAATCGATACGTTTAATTTATGACAGATCTATTATTTAATTTAATATTCTAATAAATTAAATAGATTCCTTAAATTCAAATCTATATAATTTGTTAATTACAAAAAGTTGTGATTGTGAAATACAAATTACATATGATTGAATTTTAAATCATTCGTGATCTTAAATAATAACGAGATATGAATATCGTTATTGCAGTTAAACCATCACATGTAGCATTGCTTACTTGTGAAGTAAGTAACTGATTTCACAAGCTAACATGTAGTGACACTACCTTATATTAGGACAGTCATACTAACTTTGGTGATGTTGAATGCTGTTTTGCCAATGGTTGTTAATATAGTGTCATTCGAGTATTTCAAAGATCATATAAAGATTGTGAATGATCAATAAATGATTAGTTACTCTTAAATAGTAAGATATCATGATGTATATTACATTTAGTTAAGTTGATAATGAAATCCTTGGTCAAGGTGTACTCATAAGTCGAAATTTTTTTTTAACTTACATTGACTTAATAGTGTGATGAAATAGACGATCGATAATTGAAATCGACTTATATCCACATCTCATAATTAATTGGAACATACTAATGAAATTATTATAATTTCATGATAAACTAACACGTTTTATTTTGTCATACTTCCTGACATTTTTCGTCACATGTATCGTCCTAATATATTACTAGATGTCACTTTGGGAAGATGGATGTGAATTAATGATAAATTAAAAATAAGTATTTTAATTTATCGATTTTGATTAAATCAAAATAACAATTCAAGTCGTTGGGTATCGTGATTGAGAATCTAATTAGTTACACACAAAAAGAGAACTAAAAGAATAAAATTAACCAATTAATTAATTGACAAATATTAGAGAATTAATTATTTGGGTTGCTAATAGGCTCAAATTAATTAATTCATTGATCAAATTGAATTAATTAAATATTGGATCGACTTAAACTTAATTTGACCAACTTGAGTTTTTATTAATAGACAGTTAGGGTTTGAAAATTCAGAATTGATAATCTTGCTAGCACAAGAAAATACAAATCTTAATTCTCTCATTCTTGCCCCATGTGTGAATTTTCAATTGGAGACTGAACAATTGAACAACTATGAATTACAAATTGCGATTATTTGTATTCCGAGATCAGCAAGGAATTTGCAGAATATACGAAAGATAATCACTATTTCTATCTAATTTACAAAGCAAATCATTGATAAAAATTAAAATTATTTTATTTTTCGTGGTGATTAATTCCCAGACATCCAAAACTTCTCATCTGGATTTGTCTTCAAATAGCGGAAACTTTTACTCATCTCGATTTATCTTTAAATAAGTTCAATGATACACTAAGCAATTTAATCCAGTCTTAGGCTATGTTTGGTATCAATTCTCATTTTCAACAGTAAATCAATTCTCATTTTCAACCACACATTTTTCAATAAAATAATATTTTCTATCAAATCAATAATCTTATCTTCTTTTTCAACCACATATTTCTCATCATATCACTATTCAAAATCAATTCTTCCCCCAAAAAATACCTCCAAACACACACTAAATCTTTTATACAATGAATTTTCTGGCGAGATCCCGGCAAAATTTGGCCGGTTTCCCGTTACGTCAGCCTGGATCTCCGGCACAACAACCTCAGTGGAAAAATACCTGAGGTGGGGTCACTTATGAATCAGGGCCCAGCTGCATTTTCTGGAAATCCTTATCTTTTTGGATTTCCATTGAACAGCCAATGCACAATGCCTGAAGCTCAGAATCCAAGAATTTTCACCGACCCGATAAAGCCACAGAATCCAGGGGTTTCTTCAAATGGGTTTGCAGAAGGTAAAAAGGTAAAAAGTGGTCGCTCACATTTTCAGTGATCGCTGGCTTTCTGTGGTGGCTGGGATAGTGTTTGTTTCAGCGTGGATGTCTAGGAGAAAATGGAAAATGGCTGAGGACGAAATGGGAAAGGGAAATGTGAGCAAGGAGGTGGGGATCGGGAGTGAGGAGTGGCAAAAGGGTAAATTTGTTATGGTGGATAAAGGGTTTGGTTTGGAATTAGAGTATTTGTCGAGGGCATCTGCTCATGTTGTTGGGAAAAGTAGGAGTGGGATAGTGTACAAGTTGGTGGTGGGTGGAGGTGTCAAGGGGGGAGGAGCAGGTGTGGGTGGTCCAGTGGTGGTTGCAGCGAGACGTTTCTGTGAGGAAGACGCCACGTGGGGGTTCAAGGAGTTAGAGAGCGAAATGGAAGCCATGTTCAGGGTTCAACATTGTAACATTGCGAGGTTAAGGGCTTATTACTATGCCAGTTATGAGAAGTTGCTGGTTTCTGATTTCATCTGCAATGAAAGCCTGTACTGTGCACTACATGGTAAGAATTACTCCTGTTTCTCTTGATGCTTTTGTTTACTTCCTGTTGTTGTTTAGTTGCAAATTAGAGTTCAATTTGGCATGATCAATGCCTAAAATGTAGCAAAATGATTTTGTTTTAGCATACTCAATGTGCTGCCACATTTTTAATTCGTGATTGCAATTACTTAGTGAGAGTAAAAGGTTATTTTCATGTCTAGAACATGCATATTATCAGAATCCAAAAAGCTTAGACCTACTATGAAGTTTGCCTCCCAATAACCAATTTTGTTGCAAGGTAAAGAATAATCATTTGTGCTAAAGGATATGGTCTATCCCACCAGAACGACACATGTAACCCAAGTCTTTTCTCAATGTTTATAGAATCCATAGGTGAGATATATGTGAAAAACACGCAGGATCATCATTAGGACCATTATGCTTGCCTATCATTCATGAACTGATCGGACTAACCAACCAAAGTTAGCTTCTGCCATTATTAGTGCCTGTTGGGCAAAAGTAAAAAAGCCTTGGTGCCATTAGTGCCTTGTACTGAACAGAGGGAAAAGCCTTTGTGCCTGTGATAGGACCCCTTGCTGCTGGTTCTCTGATGGACCTGTGAATCCTAGTTGCTGCTGCTAATGGTGTGGTGTTTAAGCCCCTGCAGGTTGTTTCCGATACTGGTAAGGGACCCGCTCAACCACATAGATAGATTATTTACTAGTGATAGGATGAGAGTGTAACTGCACGCTGATGTATGTAATGGACTGAAGCTGTAAATGGAATTCAAACACAGAAATGAATTGTTATTCACTGAAATGTAAGACTAGAAAATGGAACAGATCCAAGGCATTTGAGAGGCCTGGTCTCTCCTCACTTCTCTCAACTCCAGACCAAATGAATGCCCCAAAGCTTCCCCCCACCCAATTGCATTTATTTCCACCCCCATTGACTCAACCCCCCGTTATACCCCTAATGCTAACCAACTAATGCTAACTAACTGATAAGGGAATTGATCTCCTGCTTTTACTGCTGACGGGGGGTCTATCAGCCTCTCGGATGATAATTAAAAGTTTAACAAAACCTGTAGCTTGAAAACTGATTTTACAAAAGTGAAGTTTAAGAATTACAATAATTGAGGTTTAATTTACAAAAGTAAGTTTTAAGATTTATAAGAATTCATTTTTGATTCCTGGATTATTTGGTCATTTATCCTTTCCTAGAAGATCATACATAGCATGCTAGTCAATAGATCACATAGCATGCTAGTCAATCTTGTCTACTAGCCACAAAGTAATGAGAAACAAAAAAGAACTGTAAGGGTTCATTCCTTTCCAGAGGAAGGTAAGGGAGGAAGGGATGAGGGTAGTGGTGGAAAACGGAATGAAACTAGTGTATTGCAAGGATAGCAATAGTTAAACTTATCAACCTTTTTTCTGTCCCTCTCTCTGCATATTTAAATGCAAAATTTTGTAAGCATTTTCATTCCCTTTCCTCTCCCTGAAACCGAAGAGAGACTAATTTGCATTTATCAGATTTTATAAGAAAAACTATTCTGATTGTTAAAGAATGTCTGAAAAGGATAAAAAAAAAAAAAAAAGAAAATTTTTTAAGCTAGGAGGGTCTTGTCAACAAAGAAATTTTTCAGGGAAATTTTATTCACATCACAATTTTTGTTTGATGCAATATTTAATTGCAATAAGATTTTCAATATTTGCTTATAACCGCATTTATATCTTTAGTTTTTTTCTAATCTTACTCTTATCCTCAACCTTTTATTAATTAATATATCTTGTTATTGATGATAGTTTTGTCCAAAAAATTCACAAGGACAGCGTAACAAGATTTATTTACTCATATTTTTAAATATGCAAAACAAAAAAAAAAACAAATATAAAACTTCGACAAAATATTTGATCTTCATTCCGAAGTACGATAAGAAAATATTTGGACATAAACTATTATTAGACACAAGATGTACTAATTAATTGAAAGTTAAAGATAAGATGCGAAGAAAAAAATTAGAAACACAAGTGCGCAATATGAAAATGTTAGTCCTTCGTTACAATTAAAATTTGATACAGCAATTGTGGTGCGAATAAGTGTAATTTTATTGACATGCAATCTTTGTTTGGTACACTTAATTTATTTGTAATGAATACCTCCAACCTTTTTTAATGTCTCATTTACATCCGCAACTTTTTTTTTTCTCATTCTTATCCTAATCTTTATTTAATTAGCAAGTCTTGTCACTAATGATGGTGAAAAAATTTGATAATATAAATTTGACAAAGAATAAAGGTCAATTATATTTAATTAATTAAAATATGATATACTTATAAGATGATGTGTTGTGAAAATAACCATCCTTNGTGAAGAACGACCATTGTCTGAAATAATAAACCCTGCCCTTTTGCACGAGGTTCGTGCAAAGAAACAAGTTGTTGCAGCATTTCATATTGGTTAAACTGCACAGAGCTGGATCCGGAGTACGACCTAGGATGAGAACTGTTTCTGACAATCTTGATTGCATTAAGTTGTAGTCTAGCAATGTCAGTAACTATTTGTAAAGATATATTTTTGGGTAATATCTAACGTTGTAGATGTTTTTAGTCGCAAAATTGCCAAGGATTTTTTTCTTGAGAATATGTCTTGAATTGAGCAGGAAGAGAGGTTCTCGAGGCAATGGGTTTAAAGTGGCGCCAGCCAGATTTTGGTAGATCTGTGTTAGGCAACCCTTGCTTGGACAGAGCCTAGTCTAGTAAAATTACATTTTCACAGACTTCAGAGTTTGGACCATGCAGTTGTAGTGTTCCAGCTCTTTGGACCCATGACCCCCTAGAGCTGGGCAATGCACAAGCCACCCAGCTGTGCTCTGCCTGGCGGGTTTGGGACATTGGGTCATTTTTACACCTCTACATGGAACACTTACCTGGAGTGAAGAGACCAAATAATTTGTGCAGTCACCAATGACCTGATCGCTAAACAATAACCAGTTTTTCTGTTCAGCTTGGAAGTTAGACCTAGCCCCCGTTTGAGCCAAATTATTGTAGAATGAGAATGAAAAATATAGCCATTATTGGGACCATACAAGAGATAGAAAATTTGAATTTAAATGTTAATGTGATGGTTAACGGTCATATTTTTTATTTTAATGAGATAATAAGGTGGCTCAAACGGGGCCTTAGTCTAGGGGTTAAGAAAGAGTACAATTACAAGCATTGAAATAAACGGTTTCAAAGGTGAATTAAACAAAGTTTACAAACATATGATGACAACAGAATACTAAATATAAAACTGTTCTGTCATTGAATGGAAAGGGACTTCATAATGCCGGCCTTGCTTTTAATCCCACCACCAAATAAAAGAATTCTGATTTAAGACAAAAACTAAGAATGATTATTTAGTCATTGTCTATTTGACCTATTTTATTAGTAAAAAGAAGAAACCTATTGTCATAAATTATTACCTAGTCAATGTCTGATTTAAGTTAAATGTTATAGTTTACCAGGTCATCCATCTCAACGCCCAAAGAATGCACCTACCAATAAAATAAATATTTCAAAACTGCATAGGTTCATCATATAAAGATCAAGAAAGCACATGTAATCATTCATAGCTTCAGCCATGGCAGAATTCCTAGACTTCGTCATTTACTTCCTCATTTGGCTTATTTCTACTATTCTGATACGAATATTTTTAAAAAAAGGAAACACTTCAGGCCTTCCTCCAAGCCCTCTAGCCTTACCGGTTATTGGTCATCTCCACCTCCTCTCCCCAATACCTCACCAAGCTCTAGCCAAGCTGTCGCAACGTTGTGGACCATTGATTCACTTATTTCTTGGTTCGGTCCCATGTGTAGTAGCTTCCTCACCTGAAATGGCTAAAGAGTTCTTGAAAACATACGAAAGTTCCTATTCCAATCGACCACAAAGTTTTGCTGTCGATTACCTAACATATGGTTCTCAAGACTTCTCATTTGCACCTTATGGACCTTATTGGAAATTCATGAAGAAACTATGCATGTCTGAACTTCTTGGTGGTCAAACATTAGAACTGTTACTTCCTGTTAGACGATCTGAAATGAGAAGTTTTATGGAATTTTTGTTGAGCAAGGCCAGTGCAGGCAAGTCGGTTGATATTGGAGGAGAGCTTATTAGATTGACGAATAATGTAATTTCAAGAATGATTATGGGTGAAAGGTGTTCGGAAGATGAAGACAAAGCTGGAGATGTTAGAAAATTGGTTCAAGAGATTGCTGAGCTCACAGGGAAGTTTAATCTGATGGATTTTATATGGTTTTGTAAGAATTTGGATTTGCAGGGATTCAGAAAGAGGCTTAAGAAGGTTCGTGACAGATTTGACGCGATGATGGAGAGGATCATTGATGAACATCAAAATCCAGGCCGGAAACTGAAGCTAGAAAATGAGGAAGGAGAAAGCGTACGAGATTTGCTTGACATTTTACTTAATATATCAGCAAATGAGAGCTCGGAGATGAGTTTGACAAGAGAGAACATAAAAGCTTTTATCCTGGTAACTCGCAAGACCTTTTCTCATTCCAAAATGTTCATTACATGAAAAATTTTGTTTCACGCAATTCAGATTTGGGATCTCCTTCTGAGAACAGCACAAACTAAAAATTCTGTGTTGGAATTTTACAGGACATATTTGCTGCAGGAACTGATACATCAGCAATCACAACAGAATGGGCTCTGGCAGAATTAATCAACCATCCTAACATATTGCATAGAGCCCAGCATGAAATTAACTCTGTTGTTGGCCAAAACAAACTTGTAGAAGAATCAGACATTTCAAACCTTCCATACCTTCAAGCCATTGTTAAAGAAACGCTAAGGCTTCATCCAACAGGACCATTAATTGTCCGAGAGTCGTCTGAAGATTGCACCATTGCAGGTATTTAAACATTGTCTTCAACATGCACACGCCCCTTCACAATGTTTGACACGTGAACAACTTTTCTAAATGGGTAGTGGAAGACTTGAACACGGGTCTTTAGTCCAGTTCTGATACAAATTTTAATCTCATCTTCTACACAGGTTACCACGTTCCAGCGAAAACGAGACTTTTTGTCAATGTTTGGGCCATTGGTAGGGATCCAGAACACTGGGAAAATCCACTGGAGTTCCGGCCTGAAAGGTTCTTGAATGAGGATGGTTATTTGAAAGCACAGTTAGATGTAAGGGGACAACATTATCATTTATTGCCATTTGGGAGTGGTCGAAGAGGCTGTCCCGGAACTTCTTTGGCATTGCAGGTTGTTCAGACAACCTTAGCTGCCATGATTCAGTGCTTTGAGTGGAATGTTGAAGGGAATGGGACTGTGGATATGGAAGAAGGACCTGGTATAACACTTCCAAAGGCTCATCCTTTGATTTGTTTCCCTGTGGCTAGACTCAATCAAATTCCATCTATGTAAAACTTTTTTTTATTAAGCTTCGATTGAAAATTTGAAAAAGGATGAAATCTACTTACACAAGGTGTAAATATGAATTTCAATATATCAGCAATATAATGCTCAGTTTGAATCGATCAATTCTTACTCCTATTTGTTTAAGCTAGCAAATTTGTTATTCTTGTGATTAAGACCTAATTTTCTTTTTCTTTCTATATGAATAGTGTTTTGGTTTTCTGAATGGAAGATCTTGGGAGCTTTACTCCTTTAGTAAATTTCTATAGTAAAAATCCTATCTTTCATTGATTTTAAATATGTGGGCAAATTATACTCTGGCTGGTTTGGAAATAGAGTTATGCTACACGTACAGGTGTAGCATCACAGGGGACGGGGTGGTTCAATCCCAGGCAACTCACTGTAAATAGGGTGGGGTGTATTTTTTTATATATTTTTAAAACATGTGGGACCCGCCGTGAGAGACTTGGCAAGCCCTGTGAGTTTGCACGATGTACTTGGAGCAAAACTCTTGGAAGAATAGTTATAGTGAATCTTGGAACTCCTTTATTATTAAGGGTGGTACAGTCCGGTTACTAAAAGAATGAGCTGAATTTTTCCTAAAACGGTGAATTAATTTGGCAAATTCAATTATCAAAAACAAATAGAAGGAAGAAAAAAAATAACAAATTTGGTTGTGCAGATCGATTATTCATTTCTGATTTAGAATCAAGAATCAAACTAAATCCGTCATTCATTGATTCTAACAGACATTGTATTTAAGAACAATCAAATTGCATCATTCAATTTAATTCTTATCCGGTTCGGACTTCTGTCCATCCCTACTTTTATCAAATGTTGGACGAATGTTCATAGTTCATTATTGCACAAAACAAATAATAGCCCACCGATCCATTCTTTTCTGGAGGGCGGGAGGAAGGTCACAAGTTAAGGATAGAACAATAAAACAATTGTTTCATTTTTATTCAATAGAACGCACAAACTGAAAACCCCAGTTTCATTGGCTACCAGTTGTCACCCACGTTATCCATTTCAGCCATCAATTTTAAAGAAGCAATTATTTGACTTAAAAGTCAAAATTTCAAACCATTATGGCTCAAACCAAACATGCAAGTATACAAAACAGCATGAATTTCCAAATTCTTTGCATTCTCTTTATTTTCTTGTCTCTACCAATTTTTTCTCTCTCCGAAAAGTGCAATACAAATGACAAAAATGCCCTCCTACAAGTCAAACAAGTCCTAGACCCTGCTCGATTCAACTCATGGGATCCCAAAATAGATTGTTGTGAAGATTGGTATGGTGTGGGATGTGACCCGAACACAAATCGGATTGTTACATTCGATCTCTTCCGCGCCAACATTTCAGCCCAAATTCCAACAGCCATCGGAGACCTTCCATACCTCGAAAACTTAGTATTCCGAAAACTTACCAACCTTACCGGTCAAATCCAACCTGCCATTGCAAAATTAACCAATCTCAGATTGCTTAGACTTAGCTATACCAACTTATCCGGACCGGTCCCTACATTCCTTAGCCAACTCAAGAACTTATATTTTCTAGACTTTTCAATGACCTAACCGGTTCAATCCCGCCTGAACTTTCCCTCCTCCAAAACCTTGAAGCCATTCACTTGGACTGGAACAAACTCACTGGTAACATCCCAGAATCCTTTGGAAAGTTCACTGGAAAAGTACCTGATCTTTATCTCTCCCACAACAACCTCACAGGTTCAGTCCCAAGATCATTAGGTGACTTGAATTTTACGGACCTCGACTTTTCGCGCAATAAACTTGTAGGTGACATCTCATTCTTGTTTGGCAGAAACAAGACTTTACAAATAGTCGATTTTTCAAGGAACATGTTTGAGTTCGATCTGTCAAAGGTGCAGTTTCCTGACAGCTTACAATCGTTGGATTTGAATCATAATAGGATCAGTGGGAGTCTGCAGCAGGATTTGACAAATTCGAATTTGCAGTATTTGAATGTGAGTTATAACAGGTTATGTGGTCAGATTCCAATGGGTGGGAACTTGCAGAGCTTTGACATTAGTTCTTATTTCCACAACAAATGCCTCTGTGGATCTCCATTGCCTGCCTGCAATTGATGTTTATGTTGTATACATACTTCGGAGTTAATGTGTGAATTTTTAAGCAGTCTGTACCTCAAAATTCTATCATCTTGTTTTATAGAAAGTGAACTATCAGAGTAAACAAGATGTTATGAAACAACAAGATATTAGAATTGCTCTGATACCACTTGTTGTGTTAATTATGTCCAAAATTTCTGATAACAATTGATGGGAATTCAACGATCACGTGTCACTCGATAACACTTAATATAAAACCAACCACCGGATTGAGATGTTGAAGTTATATAGCACAAAAATGAAGTGTTCGATCACAAGTAAAAGAATAAAAGAAAACAAGAAAATATGGCAGAGGAATTATGAGATTTTATTACACCAATAATAATGAAGAAATATACAATTGATCATAAAGTTCTAATAATCTCTTTTTTCAAAATATTATCTTATTATAAAATTATATATGTTGACGTTGTAAATTGTATGAACAAAACTCAAGTCAACTTAGAATGTAAATAAGAGCTTCATTGACTGTAAGTCATAGGTTACAAGAATTATATACCAATAATCTCTTCTCTCTTTGAAGGAGATATTTGAAATATGAAATGTAGGAGTATTTTTCAGTGGAAGTGTTGTCATTTCCTTTTCTTCTCCTTCTTCCCTTTATAGGGAAAAATCTGCATGTATCCTTCATTTCCCATCTTATCAGCTACAATATCGAACTAAGAAATACACTACTGGCATGTTTGGATTGGTTAACGAGTTCGTCTTGTCAGGTCATCATGAGTTTAACCTTACAGGTGATCCCAAACAATAAATGAATTACTTAGGAAATGAAGCTAAAGCATATGATTGGTAGACTTGGTGGGCGTTGATGTAAGATCGTCCATATGCTACTTACTGATTGACTGTTTGTACAATATGTCAGAAACCAATAATCATTATGTCCCTTCTCGCCTCAATAAATATCTCAATCCAAACTGACCTCAAATATCCGACATCATATTAGCACAAGCTTATCGAATATAATAAAATGTACTTATCGACCTCGGAGGTCGGATGCTAAGAGTATAGAAGAGCCTAATATTTATAGAAAACATGTAGGGAATGTTCAAACCCTCTTAGTATAGTTGTTGATGAAGTTGGATACCAAAAAATTGAGTTCAAAACATATTCCAAAATAGAACTTCAACTTGACATAGGAATCCAATAGTATTCCAAACTGAGTTTTTCTTGACGTGCACTTCAATTAGAATTTTTCAATTATTTCAATAAGGAATTTGGGTCACACACAATTCTAACAATCTCCACATTGATACGAATTCTACTGCAACGAACACAGTTCCAAAATTTTCTTCACCTGGAGAAGAAAATCCGTCTGCAAGGAATGAACTGACCCTTCAACAATAACCAAAACTGATTTCTCCAACCAAACAATACTCCACCTCTTTCAATAAATCCAAACACTACTTTACAGAATTACTTTAGATTCCCAAAAAATCATAATGATTTTAAAATTCACCAAATTTGGTCATAACACACTCCAAAAGAGAATCAAACTCAAATGCTTTTAAAGAGACCACTTGCTAGATTGTACACCTTCTACTACGTTGAAAGCATGCTCAACAAAATCAGCATCCACATACCTTTTTCCCTAGCAATTGAATAAAATGGCACCGAAGGTGATGGTGGCAAAGCGGCATTATCCATATTTTCTAAACTCAACTGAGCAGTATTCTTCAAATCCGACTATTTATGAGCTCCTAAAGGTATTGTACCAAAATGAATGTCCACAATGGTACTGAACATGTGCTGATTGACTTTTCTAGATTCTGCACGACCCTGCAATATGTATAATTGAGACATTTTATGTCCCTCCAATACAATCGAGCACCCTTACAAGCCTTTAAAACTCCATCTCCACCAAAGAACTTATAACCCTTTGAATTAAGGATAAACAACGAGATGAGATTCTTCTTCAAATTCGAAACATGTATCGAAACATGTAGAACCTGGCCATGTGTTCTAATTGTCTCATTCAATAGCTTCAATCTGACCGTACCAGTTCCAACAACCCGACAAGATGTGTTGTCTTTCATAACCACTACACCTTTGAAAACGGTTTATATGTAGCAAACAAGTTCTTATTAGGACACATAAAAAAACACACACTCTGAATCCAGAATCCAATCTTCCTCTGGTTTAGACTTGATATCAGAAATAGCCAAAAGATCTCCATTACTTACAATGTTCTCTGCGAGGTTAGTTTCACCTGAAATATCCGATTGCTTCCCATATTGACTTGCAGACAACCTTTCTTTATTCTGCAATTTGTAGTGATCCTTCTTCATGTGTCCCTTCTTCTTGCAGTAGTTACAAATATAATTACTGAGCTTACACTTCGATCTGCCCTTTCCAAAACCACCCTGAGCAACTAGCCTTCTCCATCTCTGGCCTCAGAAACAGATGTTTCATCTTTTCTTTTGAATACAAAGCATCATACACTTCCTCTATGGTGAGAGTATTACGACTATACAAGATCGTGTCTCTAAATGAAGAAAACGAAGCAAACAACGAACAAATATGATCAATGTCAAATCTTTTTCATCATATTATACTTTCAAAGTTTCTAAATCAGTGACGATCTCTTTAAATACAGTCGGTGATCTTCCAATGATCCTCATTATGTCATTCGATGAGAGATAAACGTTACTTAAGATGCAACTTGCTTGTAAGACTTTTAGTAATGCACAATTGCTCCAATTTCGACCATAAAGCAGATGTTGAACCCTCCTTCAAAACGTCCTAAATAATGGTATTTGATAGATGAAGATAAATGTGAGAAATTGCTTTCTTATCCTTCCGTAATTTCTCATATGAGGTCAAAATTGCAAGCATCTTGTCAATTCCCAACAACGTATCATCCAAATCCAGTTGTACAAGTACTGCACGCATCTTAACCTTACATATCGATAATCTAGTGTTTCGATCCAAAAGCGAAATGACATACTTCATGGAAGTCATCACAAACAAAAATCTCAAACAAATCAAACATTGGGCTCCGCGGAACTGTTGAACTTAGTCTCTGATACCACTTATTATGAAACAAACAAGATACCAGAATCGCTCTGATACCACTTGTTATGTTAATTATGTCCAAAATCTCTAATACCAATTGTTGGGAATTCAAGAATCATGTATCGCTCGATACCACTTAATATGAAATCAATCACCAGGTTTATATATTGAAGTTATATGACACAATAATGACGTATGTGCTCACAAGTAAAAGAATAAAAGAAAACAAGAAAATATGGCAGATGAATTATGAGATTTTATTACACCAATAATAATTGAGAAATATACAAGTGATCCTAAAGTTCTAATAATCTATTTTCTCACAATATTCTCACATTATAAAATTGTATAAAAGAACCAATATTTATAGGAAACATGTAGGGGATGTCCACCCTCTTAGTAGAATTGTTGATGAAGTAGGATACCAAAAAATTGAGTTCAAAATATATTCCAACTCCTAATAGGGCTTCCAAAATAGAACATCAACTTGACATAGGACTCTAATAGCATTCCAAACTGAATTCTTCTTGACGTGCACTTCAATTAGAATTTTTCAATTACTTCAATAAAGAATTCGGGTCAAACATTCAATTCCAAAGATAAAGAAATTAAATGATAGTTTAATATCTATCATAACTTCTATGATGAATGGAAGTTATTAAGCGGTTTCTTGTATAAAGATGCAAAAGGTTCCCCAGCCAAACAAGTACAAATTTTCTTGTAGAATTTTATTTTTCAATTGAAAGTTTTGTGTTTTATCAAGTAAAGGGATTATAAAGTGGGCATTGACTAGAATGCTTGTTGATAGTGTTAGGCTTAATTTTTAGTGCAGATTCTCAATTAATTTTGGATAATATGGAGCTACGCAATTTATTTCTTTCAAGATATTATATTAAAGGTGTCAAAATACAGAGAGTCGGTTAGGATTGTGTTGTAGTCTCGAACAAGTTGAGAAAGTCTGTTTCGGGTCAGGGGCGGTCTCGTCCAGACAGTCTCAAAACCGGGGTCTCAAAACTGGCGTTTACACCCCCTCTACTATCATACAATCATACTCAAATCCATAGAAATCACTATACGCGTTTTCATTTTACAAGTTGGCTGTGCAATGATATATCCTAGAAAGAACAAAACTCTATCCATTTCAGCCAACATCTGACACGTATTTCAGCTATTGTTTATGATTTTTTCTGCTTGTACAGAAATAAAAAAAAAAGACAGAAAATGAACAGATACTCGCATCGGTGGGCCCATGTGAATTAAATATTGCAAAAAAAAAAAAATGGCCTACCTATTTGTGCGATTTTGTGGGTTTTCTGTGGGTTTTTCCTAATGTATATGTAGGCAAACTTCTTTGACTAAAAGTCTTAACATTTGCCTACAATTTCTTTATAAATGTTTACTGAATTCACTCTTCAAGTACTACTATCTTATAGCTCAATTTTCCAGTGTTCAAAGTAGTATGAACTTCCAGTTTCTTTGCATTATCATTTTTGTTTTTCTATCATTTTCCTGTCTATGTGAAAGGTGCAATCCCAATGACAAAAAAGTGCTCCTCAAAATCAAGCAATCCTTTAACAACCCCTACCACTTGGCCTCATGGGATCCGGACACCGATTGTTGCCGTTGGTACGCGGTGGATTGTGACCCCAAAACCAATCAAAAAAGTGCTCCTCAAACTCAAGCAATCCTTTAACAACCCCTACCACTTGGCCTCGTGGGATCCGGACACCGATTGTTGCCGTTGGTACGCTGTGGATTGTGACCCCAAAACCAATCGTGTCAATGATCTTCACCTCGTCTCAGCTAATCTCTCCGGTCAAATCCCGGAAGAAATTGCCGATCTCCCTTATCTTGAAACTCTAATCTTCCATAAAATCACAAATCTCACTGGAAATATTCCTACATCCATTGTCAAGCTGTCTAAGCTCACAAATCTTATTATCAGCTGGACTAATGTATCTGGCCATATCCCTTCATTTCTTAGCCAACTCAAAAACTTATCGTTTCTTGACTTGTCCTTCAACAATTTTTCCGGTTCAATCCCTTCATCACTATCCCAACTCCGAAACCTCAGTGGTCTTCGCTTGGATCGCAACAAACTCACAGGAAGTATCCCCAAGTCATTTGGGAATTTGACCCCTAGTCTTCAATATCTTTATCTCTCCCACAACCAGTTCACAGGCACAATTCCAAGGGGATGGGGTGACTTAAACTTCACTCTGATCGAGTTACAAAGAAACAAGCTCGAAGGTGACGTATCATCATTGTTGGGTAAAAACAAGACCATAATATATCTTGACCTCAACAGGAACATGTTGCAGTTTGATATTTCCGAAGTGGAGTTTCCGTACAGCTTAACATTCTTGGACTTGAACCATAATAGGATCATAGGGAGTCTTCCGGAAGGATTAACTCAGTTGAGATTGGATGGCTTGAACGTGAGTTACAACAGACTCTGCGGTCCAATTCCGAAAGGTGGGAGATTGCAAGACTTGGAATACACATCGTATTTTCACAACAGATGCTTGTGTGGGGCGCCATTGCCGGATTGCAAATGATTCCGTGGATATTTTATCCCAATTTCTTTTAATTGAATCTGTTTGGCTTTTAGCTTCCTCAAGGAAATAATCATCAACGAGGCAAAAAAGTTGATTAAAGATTACTTAATATTTAAACCCTGAAGAGTTTAGTAGGTAATTTTCCACTTGCACTTGTACCTGCACACACGCAGCTTCATTTTCAGCCAGTGGCATTCATAAAACTTGCTGATGCAGAGCTTGTTTGAAGACATTAATAAACTATTTCAAGTTATCTTGTTATGTAATACTAATTTTGTTTTAAAATATATTTAATACAAAAAAGAAAAGATGGATTATGTAATGTTCCAAGATACATTAATTTCAGTTTATTTCATCAACTTTTATCAAAAGCTTTGTAAACAACCCTATTTGGGAAAGCTTACAAAGTTCCTAAAATATTGATGTCGAAGTCAATAATTGATTTTAATCAAATCTTATAATCCACAATTACTACCCACTTTTTCACTACTCATTTCGTGGAACCTACCATTCCTTTTTATCAAAATAAGCTTTTTAGAACTCCCAAACAAGCACTTAAACTAATGGCTCAACTCTGAATCGTCTATGTTTGTTCAGTTTTAGACCTCATTAAATTACTTCATCAAAAAGTTCAAGATATTGGGTAAAAACTTCCTTGAATAAATTACGTCATAAAAATGGCATCTTGCGTTGGGATCATCGGATCATTCTTCAATATGCACGCAATTCTGATAAATGAATGATGACGAGACTCTAATTCATGTCAAATAGTCTAATCTAAAATACTAGTAGATGCGATGTACGTAGTTCGACAAGAGAGAACAATTCTCTGTACAAGACTTGTTTGGTCCAAATGGAATCATGATTTTCTCACAATAGTATAGAGATTTTCCATTGGTTACATATGCATCTAATTCTAATTTATATAAGATACTGCTATTGTGATATAATCTAAAATTAAGCTGAAAGTAAGAGGTAGCCAATATTTGAACCAAAATAATGCTGAACAAACTTTGAATACGATATCTCAATGACTCAATCCAATTTTCGGCCATCAACTATCTATGTCATGCAATCAATGTCTGGGATTGCCACGGACGTAAATATTATCATTTTTTCATAGTACATTGATGAAGGCCAACCTCAAATATTAATCTTTTTTATTTTTTCAGCGAGGGAGACAAACTGGGTCAAAAAATTGCTAATATATTGTTAAATTTAAGAATTAGAGAATTAAGCTAAATCTGACTACCCTTGAAGAGAATTCAGATCGTCGCAATTTCCCAAAAGTTGTCGAGGTGATGGTTGATGTCGTAGAAACTCTAACTTTGACGAGTCTACAAGTGGGTTAAGATTAAGAACCCAACTTAAGATTCAATTCATAAAGCTAATTTTTTGCATTAGTGACCAATTAGTTAGGCCAACAACTATAGGATAGTTACTTCTAGCTTCTATAACAGCCGAGACCTATGTTCAGTGTAGATATCCGAGGATAGTATACTGTATTTCGAGCTATCTCAAGAGGGTATATCTCCTTTTCAATTTGTCTTTGCAACTAGTGTCTTTACATACACTCATACTCAAATGAGGCGATGAGATTGGGACGATAGCCGTCTTTGAACTAATTTTGGGACTCTCCGTTAACAGGTCAAATCTTATGCTAAGGCAGACAAGAAACCGACTATAGATATTATCTACAAAAACAAAGATTTACTTTCTAAGTTTCGATGAAGAAACTAGAAAGTATATCGACAGCTCAAAGTTGAGCTAAAAGAACAGATAAAGATGAAGAATAAAGGATAAAAGCATCCGTATGATCAGGGTCGTGTATAAGCTTTAATTATTACTTCTATATTTATCAATGTTCCACTACCCTTGTTGAAACAGCTAATGCATTTCCTATAAAAAGGACTCAATAAATTAAATTTTCAATGCTACAATTAAATAAAGATTTGGAGAGAAGGTATAAAAGCTGGTCTGAACTTCTGCAGTTTGCCACTAAACAAATCCAAGAAATCTTGAAAAGCAAGAAACTCAACCTATTTTTGAATTCTCAAAAAGCAAATGCCTGAAGACTTTTAATCATTCCACACTAGTAGTGTTTTCTAGATTATCAAATGTAGGTTCACAAAGAAATCGAGGTTTTATATAGAAGAGATAGTATATACCCAGACTAAGAAATTCACTAACCAGACAACTCTAGAAGCCATATACGAGAAATCCCAATTCTCCATTTAACCTCAAACATTGGAAAAACTGCTGAAGATTTGGTAAAGAATCATCCCCCAGCATATTACTTAACAGGACAGACCATGAACAGTCGACCAACTTTCAATCCCCGAGATGACTTCAAAATTAAGGACACAAAACCGCGGCTAGGGGAGCAGTGGCCACATGGAGGAGTTCGAGGTGGGGGAGGTTGGATCAGCAGTGACAGAGTCACAAGCACTTATGACCTAGTTGAACAAATGTATTTTCTTTATGTTCGAGTTGTTAAAGCAAGAGACCTGCCAACAAATCCTGTGACGGGAAGCTGTGATCCATATGTAGAGGTGAAACTCGGGAATTACAAAGGCAAAACACAGCACTTTGAGAAGAAAACAAACCCTGAGTGGAACCAAGTCTTTGCATTCTCAAAAGAGAAGATTCAATCATCAGTTCTTGAAGTTTTTGTCAGAGACAGAGAGATCGCAGCAAGAGATGATTATCTTGGGAAGGTTGTTTTTGAAATGGATGAAGTTCCTATTAGGGTTCCACCAGATAGCCCGTTGGCACCTCAGTGGTACAGACTAGAAGATCGTCCAGGAGAAAGAAAGGTGAAAGGAGAGGTTATGCTAGCAGTTTGGATGGGAACGCAAGCTGATGAAGCTTTTCCAGAAGCTTGGCACTCAGATGCTGCTTCGGTTCATGGAGAAGGTGTCTTCAGTGTCAGATCAAAGGTGTATGTTTCACCTAAACTGTGGTACCTCAGAGTCAATGTTATAGAAGCACAAGATGTCGAATCTCAAGACAAAAGCCAACTTCCTCAGGTTTTTGTAAAAGCCCAACTTGGAAATCAGATACTTAAGACCAAACTATGCCCTACACAAACAACCAATCCTTTCTGGAATGAAGACCTAATCTTTGTAGTGGCTGAGCCTTTTGAAGAGCATTTAGTGCTCACAGTTGAAAACAAAGTGAACCCTTTAAAGGATGAACTTGTTGGGAGATTAAGCTTGCCATTACACATATTCGAGAGACGATTGGATCATCGACCAGTTCATTCTCGCTGGTTCGACCTTGAAAAGTTTGGTTTCGAAGTTTTAGAGGGAGATAGAAGAAAGGAACTCAAATTTTCAACAAAAATTCATCTCAGAGCTTGTCTAGAGGGTGGTTACCACGTGCTAGATGAATCAACCATGTACATCAGTGATCAACGGCCAACTGCTAGGCAATTGTGGAAGCAGCCAATTGGGATCCTTGAAGTTGGCTTCTTAAGTGCACGAGGGCTTCTACCAATGAAAACTAAGGATGGCCGAGGGAGAACAGATGCTTATTGCGTGGCTAGATATGGGCAAAAGTGGGTAAGAACCAGAACAGTTGTTGAAAGCTTCAGCCCCAAATGGAATGAGCAATACACATGGGAGGTTTATGATCCTTGCACAGTGATCACATTGGGAGTTTTTGATAATTGCCACTTGGGAGGGAACGAGAAACCACCAGCTGGAAGTGGACCTGGAAGGGACTTGAGGATTGGGAAGGTAAGAATCAGGCTATCAACACTAGAAACTGACCGTATTTATACTCATTCATATCCACTTATTGTCCTCCAACCAACTGGTGTGAAGAAAGTCGGTGAACTCCAACTAGCATTTCGATTCACGTCTCTATCTCTCACACACATGATATATCTTTACAGCCGTCCTTTGCTGCCAAAAATGCATTATCTGAATCCTTTCACTGTAAGACAATTAGATAGTTTGAGATATCAGGCGATGAACATTGTAGGATCAAGGCTTGGGCGAGCTGAACCTCCTCTGAGGAAAGAGGTTGTAGAATACATGCTTGATGTAGATTCCCACATGTGGAGCATGAGAAGAAGCAAAGCTAACTTTTTCAGAATCGTTACAGTCTTGTCCGGGATGATCTCCATGAGCAAGTGGCTTGGTGATGTCTGTCAATGGAAGAACCCCATCACTACTATTCTAGTCCATGTCCTCTTTTGCATATTGATCTGCTATCCAGAATTAATCCTCCCAACCGTGTTTCTTTACATGTTTCTGATAGGCATATGGAATTACTGGTTCAGGCCCAGGCATCCTCCACACATGGACATCAAACTTTCTTGGGCAGAAGCAGTTCACCCAGATGAGCTAGATGAAGAGTTCGACACTTTCCCCACATCCAGGCCTCAAGATGTAGTACGAATGAGGTATGATAGACTTAGAAGTGCGGTGGGAAGAATCCAAACAGTAGCAGGAGACATGGCAACCCAGGGGGAGAGGTTTCATGCTCTGCTCAGCTGGAGAGATCCTAGAGCAACCAGCGTCTTCATAGTTTTCTGCCTATGTGTGGCAGTTATTCTTTATGTGACACCTTTCAAAATAATAACAATGTTAACAGGCTTGTATCTACTAAGGCATCCAAGATTTAGGAGCAAACTGCCTTCAGCACCCATCAATTTCTTCCGCCGTTTGCCAGCTCGAGCTGATAGCATGCTCTGAAAAGGATTTAGGAGCAAACTGCCTTCAGCACCCATCATTTCTTCCGCCATTTTGCCAGCTCAAGCTGATAGCATGCTCTGAAAAGTCATTTTACAATTTAGTTATTCCATGTCTCAATCTGGTTTTTTTTAATGTTCAGTTATATTTGTTTCCATGCATCAACATATTTCTTCCAACTCCAAGTATTATTTTCAGTCAATTTCGTCTGTGTCAATCTCAGAACTTTCGAGGGCACTTTATGAATATATCCAAGTACAGTTCTTCAACTGCTTGTTAGAGTCCTTAATTTGATTTCTACTTTCCTGAATTCCTGTTGGTAATACAATCAAAACTACACTTCAAATCAAGAAACGGTCTGGAACGTGCAAATATGATACTAAGATGTACTTGATGAAGTCCATAAGGAGCTATATAATTATACAAACGCATGATGGCCAAATAAACTTTTAAGAATGAAAAGAACAATTATTGCAGGAACACGTATTAACGTGCATACTCAGTGAATAACTGATAGTATGCACAAAAATGGGTAAATTTTTCTTCTTTTTAACTGTTTGAGAATCCAAATAGAAGGGGGGAAATCAATGTGTGTACAAGTGAAAAATCAAATATCCAAGGAAAAACAATATTCATCGACCCCCAACAGTAAATTGATGACACGCTGTGCTTGCAATTGAACGATCCATCATCACTGGAGGTCAATTGATCCTTATTATTAGTATAGTAAAGATTAGAGAAACCGACCATGTAAAATTACAGTCAATTAACATAAATACAAACAGGTCCACAATCAAAAATAGGATACGCTGCCAATTTGATAGCTGAGAACTTCCCAAAAAAAAATGCTAACTGATTAAATTCATAAGATTACCACAAACTATAAGTGACCCGGATGAGAAATTGCATCAATTTTAGTAGAATTAACGAACGGTCCAGATGAAACGACGTCGTCACTGCTAGTTTGTTCGTCATCCCTGGAATTTGGGGGACACGGAGTTCCTGGTTCCTCTCCAGTCCTCGTTCCGATTTCTCGGGTTTGAGCCAAGGTTGCATAAAGATAATTCTAACGGAGACGACTTTAATGAATCTCAATTAAATTCTTTAAAATCCAGATATCTCAATAACTATTTATAAATATTTCATTAATATAAAAATTTTAAATAATTCAAATGAATTTCTTAAACAATTTCATTATTTTCAGTGAGATTCTTATGAATTCGTAGAAATGTATTTAAATTCACGGAATTCATTAAAATTTATAACTTTTTAAAATTTATCAAAATTTCAATTAACTACATTTTTATGGATATTTTCGAGATCGCAATGGGTGCAGGCCCTTTTCTTTTTATTTTAATTTTTTATGATTAAATTTATATTTTACTCTATGAATCGAGCAGGTTCAGGACATCGATATGTCTACATCAAGTTGGAGGCAAGTCTCGTTGCGAATAAAACAAAAAAAAAAAAAAGCGAACATCTATCACCTTGACATAAGATGTTACAAAGTTACACGAAAAAAAAAAAGAACCTAGCAAAAGATCAAATTTTCAACCTCTACTTTACTAATGTTCATGATAACATTGAAAATCAATTAACACGATTTCTTTAATTTTATTATTTATTTCTATCATTTCGACTTTAAATTACAAAGAAAAGAAGCACTCTAGCTTATTTTATCGAGTATAATATAAACAACTCCACATTTTAATTGAATTTAAGAATTTCAATCTTTGCTCATTACTTTTTTACGCCTCCCTCTATTAATTGACACAACTCATCTCGAATAATAACTTTCCATCCAAAAAAACTTGTCCAGAGGACATAAAGTAACCTTTTTGTTTATCATAGTTTTTTTCAAAAAAAAAAAAGTAAAGGCGAAAAGGCCGCAAATTATTTTTCCTTCATTTCGAAGTACAAAGTTAAAATACTTCGACAAGAATCATCATAAAAAATGAGATGTACTAGAAGGTTGAATATAAAAATTTGACAAAATAAGATTGTTGGAGTTCATCTGTCCAAGTGTCAAAAAGAAAATGCAGCAGTATTGAAGTTCACCAAGTACTATCCATCAGGAGAAATAAAGGCATATTCATTTGAAATGAGCTAACAGTAAAAATGAAGGATAAAATATCGTCCAGAGCATATTAAATTAAATGCAACTAGTGCGACTACATATTAGCATGGATATGTCGCTACAGAACCAACTTTACATGGGAAATCCTAGCAAACAGACTGCAGATCCACAAAATCTTAAAGTTCCAAGAGATATCTCCTACACATCTTACAGGGGACCAAAGTTCACTGGTTGGTGTAACGAAGAAAACAAAGATCTATTTATCAGAAGCTTCTGAAAGACGATGGGCTCGGTTAAGACAGAACAAATACAGATTGCTCACAACATGCAATCTGTTCTAGCAGGTAACCTTCTGAAGAAGTTGAGGGGCACGGAAGGAAGCTTGTGACGGAACCTAGGATGCCTCAAAACATAGAATCCTGCAAGAAGTGCCACCACTTGGAAAGGTGTGACATAGAGAACAATGGCAGCAACCAAACAAAAAATTACGAACAAAGCTGTAGCTCTTGGGTCCCTCCAGCTCAGCAGAGACTGTACCCTTTCCCCTTGTGTTGCCAAGTCGCCAACCACAGTCTGGATCTTCCCTGCAATGCTTCTCAGACGGTCGTACCTCATCCTCACGATTTCCGGAGGACGTGAAGTAGGGAAAGTGTCAAACTCCTCATCTAATTCATCAGGATGAGCATTATCAGCGTAAGAGAGGCGAGTATCCATGTGGGGAGGATGCCTTGGCCTCCATCTGTAGTACCAAACTCCAATTAAGAATAAGTAGAGGAAAACAGTGGGCAAAATAAGCTCAGGATACAAAACCAGTATTAAGAACAAAATGTGAATCAGAACGGTGGTAATGGGGTTCTTCCAGTTGCATATCTGATCAAACCATTTTCCAACAGCAATTAACCCACCTAAAACTCCCATGATTCTAAAAAAGTTTGCTTTGCTTCTCCTCATACTCCACATGTGAGAACCCACGTCCAGCATATACTCCACCACTTCCTTCCTCAAAGGCGGCTCAGCACGACTCAGCCTCATGGAAACAATCTGAGTAGCCTGGTGCCTCAAGCTGTCGACTTGACTGACAGTTAATGGGTGAATATAGTGCATTTTGGGCAACAGTGGCTGCGAGTACATATGCATCATATTCATCAAGGATGAACAAGTAAATCTAACAGCCAAATGAATTTCACCCATCTTTTTTACCCCAGAAGGATGCAAAACTAGAAGGGGATATGAATGTGTGTACACACGATCTGTTTCTAGGGTAGAAAGACGGATCCTGACCTTTCCAATCCGTGAATCCCTCCCAGATTTATCTCCACCGTGCAAATGACAATTATCAAATACACCAATAGTTATGACAGTGCACGGATCATAAACCTCCCAAGTGTATTGTTCGTTCCATTTGGGAGTAAAACTGTCAATGATGGTCCTCGTCCTGACCCACTTCTGCCCATATTTGGCAACACAATAAGCATCAGTCGTTGCCTGCCCCTCTTTAGATTTCATAGGCGACAAACCATGAGCACTCAAAATACCTAACTCGAGAACCCCAATGCTGGACTTCCATAACTGTTTTGCTGTTGGTCGAAGATCACTGCTATAGTGAGTCGATTCATCCAAAACATGGTAACCACCCTCCAAGCATATTCTCATATGAATCTTGCTAGCAAACTTGACATCCTTCTTCTTTTCACCTTCAACAGTGATATGTTTCTCAAGATTATACCACCTTGTATTCACAGGTTTATGATCCAGTCTCCTGTCAACATGCACTAGAGGAATGGCACATCTTCCCAGGACTTCATCTTTATTGGGTGCGACTCTGTCTTCCACACTCAAAATTAATGGCTCCTCAAACGGTTCTGCAGCAACAAACATCAAATCCTCATTCCACATAGGATTGATACTCTTGCTCATTGACACCCTCGTCCTCAATGCCTGATTTCCCAGGATGGCCTTCACAAAAACTTCTGGAAATCGACCTTTATCAGTTGGCAACAAGTCCTGAGCTTCAATTACATTGACTCTCAGGTACCACAGCTTAGGGGATAGGTAGACCTTTGACCTGATATTTGCCAAACTGTCAGTGCCAATGACTGTGGCAGCATCCGAATGCCATGCGTCGGGAAATGCTTCATCAGCTTGAGTACCCATCCAAACAGCCAACATCAGCTCTCCTCTAACCTTATCACCCTTCCTATCTTCTAACCTATACCACTGTGGGGCCAAGGGACTATCCGGGGGAACTCTTTTAGGAATCTCATTCAAGTCAAACAAAACCCGACCCATAAAATCGTCCTTCACAACATCCTTATCTTTCACCGTAACCTCAAGCACGGAGGCCTGAATCCGCTCCTTTGAGAAAGCAAACACCTGATTCCATTCAGGGTTGGACTTCTTCTCAAAATGACGTGTTGTCCCCTTATAGTTTCCAAGCTTAACCTCAACATAAGGGTCACAACTACCCGTCACATCCTTTGCCGGTAGTTCTTTTGCCTTTACAACTCGAACATAAAGGTACTGCATCTGCTCGACAAGATCATAGGTGCTAGTGAGCTTATCTCCGGTGACCTTCCCTCCACCGAGGTGGGGGTAAGTCTGCTTAAGAGAATAATCTTCTTGTGGAGGTCGCTGCATTTCTTCGCTTGTTTCTTTTTATCCACACAGCACAATATCCAGAAACAGGTTTCAAGAAATATGACAGAGATTCTAAAACTCCTTAATGGATCTCAGCAGAAAAAACCTGGAATATTCATAGTCATAAAGAGAGTTAATGAGGCAGTGAACCAAACTATACACAGCAAGAATGTTACGGAAGCGAGTCTAATACTTCAGATCTCAATTGAATAAACAACCTTATAAAGATGAATATCTTAAACCCGAAATCTTCATTCAAAATCTCAGATCTGAATGCTGAAACCCTGTAGAAAACAGCACACAGTGTACGATAAGTGCAGATTTTATTCAAATCGCAAATACGCTTGTGTGCGTAAATTCGTAAACCCCGACCATATCATATTCGTCTTCAAAAATAATTACATACACATAAAGCCATATACACTAATAAACATATAAAAAAGGATTAGAACTTTATAATGTTAAAAAAACAAATACCCACATTAAAACTCCAAAGTCCCAACAAGTAGCAATCCAAGAATGTATTTAAAACCAAAAACGCAGTAACGTAGCTCCATATGTTTTTCTTTTGAATGACTTTATTTAGACTACACATATAAAATACATATACAGATACAGGCACAGCCGCACAAATACAGATAAAGCGTTGAATATACCTAGAGGATTCATCGAAGCTGAGGCGATAAGGTTCTGTTACAGAATGAAACGACAGAGGAAAAAGAAAAAGATAAGGGTTTTGTTCTTGTTGCGAAGAAACAGTAAAAGCGGTAGGTGTCTTGGGTTTAGAGAGAGAAAGTGCTGAGCTTTTTCTTTATTTATTGTTCCCCCCTTTTTTAGAGAGAGAAAGTAAACGGAGGAAGAGGATTCAGGGGGGATCTGATGAATCTGCTTTGTGAATTCTTCAGTGTGTGAAATATCAGTTGTGTGAATAGGTATATAAAGGCGTATGAATAGATGTATAGCAGTGTATGTATAGGTGTATGTCTGTCCGTGTGAGAGGGGACGTCGCCTGAGTTAATTGACATTTGACCAGACAGCGCGCGTGTGAGGACTATGGTCGGGACATGGCAAGTGCGACCTACGTGGATTTCGGGCCGAAGCTTATCCCTCAGGCTCAGGTTAAGCTTATCATCCAATTAAATTGCATAATCGTCTTTTAATGAAAGTTATATATTCTGATAAAAATTGGGCCTAGAATTTTTATTTGGCTGCATCAATAAATATTTTAATTAATATGTTGAGTTAATACCATATTCTTGAGTCAGCAATATGTAGGGTGTTCTTAAATCAGATTTTGATGGATTATAAAATATTATAAATTTAAATGAGTATCATGAATTGACTATCACAAAATTTATAAGAATCTCATAAAAATTTGAGGAATTTCAAAAGAATTTGTTATATGTATTTTTTTTTAGTTTAAAATTACTCTATTAATGAAACTGTTATAAATCTATGGGTTATTGAAAATACCTAAATTTTAATAAAATCGGCTAGGGACACCTAAATTTTATTTAATTACATTAAAATTTCAATTGAGGATTTAAAATTCATCAAAACTTGAATTGAGAATACCCCGGTAGTCTAAAACTGATAAGTTGCAATACAGTAGACAAATTGAACAATATTAGACATGCTTTGAATAAAGAAATATATAAAGTTCGTCAATTTACTAACTTTTAGTTTAATGTGTCAAATATGTCGTAAGTTCAACGTTGAAAAAAAATATATAAATTGCAGTTGGATCTTGAAACTTTAAAAGTTGTAATGACGGGATCTAAATCTTTTATTCTAGAACTTAGAGTTCCAAACCTTTCAAAGATCTTCGTCTGAGATAGGGTTAGACATGATCCGATTCGATTCGGTTCTAAAAAGAACTTAATCATAATTTTAGAGTATTTAGTAAGTAAAATTGTCAAGTCCAAATTTAATTACAGAACTGAACAGATTCGTTTATGTAACATAATTAAATTTTTTAACATTTACAACAATACTACATAAATTCAACTAATGACACGTTCAACGTTGACTCTTACCAAAATAATGTAATCCAATTTATAAATATGCAAATAACAAATTGTCTAATAAGATCAATTCACCAAAATATACAAATTACCAAAAAGTAAATAATGACATTAAAACATCGATAATTCCTTCTCACTGATTCATTTGCTTCAAACCTTCAAATCTACATAAAAGTGAAATATAAATTAGAAGTCACAAATATAAAATATTTTAAAGTATTGATAATACTTACCAACTATTTAATGTAATTATTAGTTGGTTGACTTTCCATACTAACTATTAAGAAACTAAAATCTACATAAAAAAATGAAATATAAATTAGAATTTATAAAAATAAAGTCTTTTTAAGTATTGCTAGTACTTATCAACCTTTAAATTAATCGTCAATCGTTTAATTTGTCACACTAAGAAACTCTACATGAAATAATTGAAAAAAACACACAATTAGCAAACATAAATAAATAAAAACTTATCCGACTAATAAGATTTAATATAGAAAAATATAGTATATATTTTATTATTTGTCTCAATATCCTCATGAAACTCTTATCTCTTAATTGTAAATTCTATCTTGAAAAAATAGTACTAATGAATGAGATGAAGCTTCCATTGATCAAAGTGGAGGAACTCAATGAACAGGGCATTAAAAGGGTAAAATTAAGAGAGACGCAACCGCTGGGAACCGATTGAGAAAAATTTAGATCACTCAATTTTATTTTGTTTTGAAATTTAAATTACAAATTTGGGCTTGGGCTGAAAACATGAAAATAATATTTTGGGCTCAATTAATTGGTAGACAAATTTATTTAGAAAAAAATTAAAATAATTTGACCTCTTTAATATAAAAATTTATGGAAATTTGGTTTTTATTCGGCTCTGGATCTAAATCCGAAAATCAAATCAAACCCGTCGATTCTTAATTCTGATACCCATTCTGACATTTAACTTAAGAAGAATCGAACTGAATCGCTCGATTCAATATGAGAGTTTTGTCCAGCCCTCATCTAAAATCATTCTGTAACAATAATCATCATTTTAACCATTGAAAATGTTAAATTTTGAGTAAAATAATACACCGATCCCACCTCACCTCACCTCACCTCGGCCTTATGCCCCACAACCATACCTCAACCTTTTCCGGTAATCAGAGGAAATCCTCCTTACGCCACCATTAGTAGCCATGTACCAAAGGCAAAGAAAATACCACGAGCAAAAAGATCGACACGCAAAGTTAACAAATTTTTGGGATAAATTTTAGAAGGAGTGATTTTATTCATTTATTTGAAAATGTGTGGATAAAAGGGAGGAAACATTTTAAGTTTACGTAACAAATTATTTTATTAAAAAAATGTGCAATTATCATCGCAAACATTTGGAATTAGTGGGACGCAATCAAACATAAAAAAAAGTTATGAAAAGGGTTCCTCTTCACAGACTATAGCTGCCAATTATCGACAAAATTGTCAAAGTGGCGTAGGTAGCGTACTTGATTTCAAGTATTATATAGAACCAGATCAAAAATTGAAATCAAACTGCATATTATATGTTCATCAAAAATCAGAACCCCAAACTGCAATTGAAGACTGAAGCTAATATCACAAATTGACAGAAATTCGCATATTATGGATATCACAAAAATCAGAAGTAGACCGGAGTCATCGGAATGGATTGTAAAATCAGAATTGTTACTGTACTGACCATATCACTCTCGCAGATGGCGATGGGGGTCCGGGTCCAGTTTGCTTCGCCGACGGGCGACGGAGGAGTCAGGGTCAGGCAGGTTCTTTGAATTTGGTAATGGGAGCCACCGTCGAAGGTCGGGGACGGATTTTTTCATCTTGTCTGGTTATTCCAAATATTGATTCCAAAGTGAAAACCCAGCAATTATTTGGTAGGAGGAATGCTATTCATCCCCATTGGAGATGAAAACACAGTTTATGTGACGTTAATGTGGCATTAAACGATAGTTGAAATTAAATAAGTCACATTTCATTTCACCTATCATTTACAACCATCTAAACTGTATTTTCATCCCCACTAGGGATGAATAACATTACTCATTTGGTAATGGGATGGGACCCGCCGTTTGGGGTTTGGATAAGCTTCAGCCCTCAATTGCAGTTTGGTGATGGAAGAATTATTTTCTTTCCTCGTGATTTTGGAGTCTATTAAAAAAAATCCTTTAAAGCTGGTGGGTCAAGACCTAGTGTGGGTCCGCCAATGGTAGTTGAAATGAGTTTTAAAAATATGGAACTCAAACAAAGGCTTCATATGAACAACATATAAATTTTTTTATTGACAATTTAAATTTTCAAATAAAATAATTGAGAGTTGTCATAATAGAGTTAAATAAAATACTTTTGTAAAAAATAAATTTGATTCATATGAAAAGGGACGTCTGATTTTACTCTTCTTATACTTTCAACGTGAGCACTTTATGGTGATAAAGTCGTGTGACATTCGAGATGACACTCAACAACATTAGCTGATTTCATGAGAGTGCTGAAGAAATTTAGTTATCTTTCTCTCTCTTTGGTGTTTTTTTTTCTTCTTTTGAAGAAACTTGATACTTCCAACTAAAAAATCATTAAGTGTTAATCTGATGTGAAATATTCGTAACATTTTTTCAAACAAATTATAATCAACCAAAGAAGCACATAGCATTTTCTCATTGGATAGTTGAAAAAAAAAACAATTTTTACATCCAATGATTTTTTGATAACACTACACGTGTCAATTATTATATAAAAAATGGTTATTAGCACAAAACAACAAACCGTCCCTAAGTTTGGAGCCCATTGTGAAAAACGTCCTTACGTTTCATTTTATATATATATATTTTTTTTTTTTTCACCTCTATTTCCATCATTTATTGTAGAAATCATCATTTTTATTAATTTTGTGCTAATAACCCATATAAAAAAAGTGTACGAATGGGATAATCTGTGTACCAATTAGATTGTCCAATGCAAAAA